AATCATAGTATTGTTATTCAAGAGAACATTTAAACTGTTAAAACATTTATTCATTTTGGGATAGCAGAGAAATTGGCACAATTGTGGAAATAGGCAGTATCTCTCTGCTAAGACATTATGATTGGTCCAGTTGTTTTCAACCATCACATGGCATCCACACACTGAATTATAAATTCTTTGAAAAATACCAATTGTATTACTAAATGAGTTTAGTAAAAGTACCAAGTACATTTTTAGAGTTTGAAAACAAACTTTTTGGTATTTGAGATAAAGAAGTACTCTTATGCTTGTTCTCTGAATAGTGTTTGCAATATATTTTTAAAATCATTGTTTTTTTCATTAAAATTTTTTTTTTTTGAATTTTGTCTAAAGTTCTGACAAAATTTGGAGCCATAACGAAAAAACAAAACAAATTTATAGTATTTACTGACAGAAATGCATGAGGAGTGCTGAACCTATGTCCCCTGCTTGCTGCAATGTATTCTACAGAGATAACAGCATTCTTTCAAAATTAGAGCAGAATAACTTCTAAGTTTGCAGCATGCAAGAAAAAAGCAGAAAGATGAGTGTTTACATACTTTGAGTTTGGTTGTAAAATCAGTGTAGTAATGTGCCAGCTCACTGTCCACTAAAAAGTCATACAAATCTTTGTTCTTATGTTCTCTTGGCTTGTTCGACATTGTCGTCTACCTTTCAGTCGTTGCTTCTCTCAACTTTGGTCCATTATCTGCAAAAAAAACAAAATACTAAGAATCAGTGAATCATTGGAGAAACTGCTACTAGAAATTTGTGCGATTTGATGCACAACATTCTAGTAAAAACTGCTTTGACCTCAGTGAAATTTATACTACTATGAATATTTCAATAACTCACAAAATTCTTGAAAATTTATTTGGTTATTTCCCTAAAAAATGCTTAAAATGTTTATAGTATTTCTTCTTTAGGGTTTATGCACGACCTCTAAAGGTCACAGATCCTTGTATATTTGGGGGTACAAGTTTTGTTGCCCCAAAACAGAAATAATTTTACCACCACACTGTGATGTAACACAGTGATGAACAAAACCCATATCACCACAGAGTAACATCACATGTGGTTAAACTTTAAATTGTAAACACAGCCAGGTAGTCCAACCCTTGCGTGTATTTGTATGGTCTGATATCTACGGATTGAGGTAACAATTGTTTATTTTGACAAATTCATGTGTATATTTTTCGTAATTATTTTTCAGTCCCTTTTGGTTGAAATTAAAAAAAAAAACCAGTGAATTTGAACAAATATCACAAATAAGCAGAACTGTCACAACGTTTGCGTGAAATAGAACAGCATAGCATCTACAAAGTTAGCATATGAGGTGTGTGCAATGATATATTCGGTGTTATTTTTAGGAATAGTTCAACTGTCAATACTCTGTTGTTTTACTATTTCATACTATGTGATTAAGCTTGTGATAATAATCATATTTTCCTTTAGGTTGACACTTGTGATTACCAGCAAAGTAACATCAATACAAAAATATTGTAGGATTACATAATATGCTTGCTGGCATTTTTAAGATAATATACACGCAATTGAGAAATTCTGTTTGGTAGTGAATTTGTACCCCAGAGAGTACCAGGATGTGTGACCTTTTGAAGGTCAAGCACTTACAATGTAATGTCCCATTTTTAACTATTATTTGCGTTACAATGCTGAAACTACAAAATTATTTTAAATTTTAAAGTTTAGTATGACAGTACAGCTTCCACATATCCAAAATTTTAAGTGTAAAAACACACTTGGACTATTAATTGCTGAATTTACAGTTTTGAAGAACAAAGATCAATGTTTCATACAGGTGCGAAATTTGTGTTTTTTCCCATAATCCACTGCACTTAATTCAATATGGTGGCGAGTACATGTGCAAGTTTTGATCTGACCGAAGTGATCATGATATAAACTATGTCATATCCACAATTAGCACAAATTCCAACTATGAAATATATAGCCAAATAGTCACCTGACACTAATAAAATTTACGATTCCATTTTAGTTAATTATAAACTTAGTAAGACAAATTACTATTCAAATGAGCAAATCTTAGTGAATGTGATTAGAAGACCACTATGCATGACCACAAATGACTCAAGTGACCTTGAATCTTTTTGACTCTAACCAAGTAACCACAAGGACAGATGTCAACGACCTCAAGAATGACTTCATGACACAATGAACATCCCAGGGTATGGTATTGCTGCAACAGCGCCATCAACGGTGGGAATAGGAAATGAATCATAGCTACTAGTATCAGTACAATTTTAAAGATGTACCGGTATACCTAAAGTAAATGGATAAAAAATATTACTGAATACTCTGCTAAATGCCCAAATAATAATAATTCAATAATTTTTTTATCCTATGCGGATTCATTAATTTTGGTTTTGTGTTACATGAAAAAATAACAAATATTTTCAAAATCAACATTTGAACATCTCTACAAACTTTCACCCTGAAAGAATGCAGTCTGTGTTACTATATGGGTCAATTTTTAAATTCACTACTACATATTTAACCCTTTTTATCACTAGTTCCCTCATTTCACATACAAATGTACAAAATAGTCCTGTCTGCACTTTCCTTCAGATGATTGAGACAAAAAACCAAATTTTTTGAGTAAAAACTGAAAACTGAAAACGACAAATCTTGTCGGTTGGCTCTAAAATTAGGGTTTATTTTCAGAAATATTATGGAATATAAGCAAAACATCACAGAAGAATTTGGACGAGAAAGGTTAAATATTTATTTCCAGTGTCAATTGTTTTACATACACAATATGCTATGGTACAACATACAATGAGTGCATGATGCGTAGAGGTCAATGGGTCAAGCACAAGTCTCGGATGAAGTCTTTACTACGATAGTTGAACGTTATTGTAGTCTTGATAATGAATGCTTAGTAACAAGCGCACCTCCCTATCTTACAGGTAATTACAATGTCTACTACCACACACACATGACTAAGCATGCGTGATTCCTTGTAGATTGTACCTTCCATCCAATAACCCTATTGTCCATCAGTTTCTATGAAACTGGATGAGCAATCAGCATTAAAGTATTTTAACATTGCCACTATTTTTCTAATACCATTCACAAAATAAGGTCACATCAATTTTTTTATATAGGTCTTCAAGATTTTTTATCAAGACCTGTATCAAATGGGAAAATATGTCTATTTGATCCAAAATGAACAAAAATATAACAGAAAAATACACAAAAAAACACAAATGTTGTACCTAAATGCAGTGAAAATAAAATCCACCAAATATACTTCTTTCCTATATTTTGCATTCAACTCATCAAAAATCAGTGAAAATAAATTCCATACAACACACCCAAAATGTCTTCTCAGCGAAAATTAATTCCAGCTGAAATCAAATATTTTACAGTACTTTACAGACATTATGACGAATGCCGTACTTTAAAGGTATGGGTTTCTAAAATGATTACAGAACATGTCTTGTTACAGTGTTTGTGACAATTACAAAATGTTACAACATTCCCGGTCACCAGATAACGATGTGTGATCAGAAGTAAACGAGCACAAATGATAAAAATCTTTCCAACATGTAAACGCATGATTTTGAAACCCAAAAAAAGTTAAGTCCTGAAAAAAGACAAAACTATTTTAACGTTATGAATAATTTAGTAGTAGTCTAGTTTCTGTTTACTTAATAGTTTGTCGGAATAGACATTTTGAATAATTCACAGAATTCAAGTACATTTATATAGCTATTATTTTCAGATGAAATGCATTTTCGCTTTGTTTATTGTCGGTTTGTATAATTTTTACATATAATTTATACATACAATGCCATTAACTAAAAGAATACAGTCATTTTCGCGAAGAATAGGCTAGTGATCATCAGTTTTTTTTTAAAGATAGTATCCTCCCTCATATTGACTGGAAGTACAATTTATTACAAAATGAATTCTGGGTATTTTCATTTAATAAAAACACCTTTTCCAGAATAAAATTAACATGCTTTCAAAATGTTGGTCAACATTTGCAGTTGATGGGAAATTATGCTCATTTGGACCAACATTAACAAAGAATTCGAAGAAAAATACAAAAAAATGTGCAAAATGTAGCAGCAAAAGTTTGGCGGGAAAAAAGATGGCACTCGGTACGGTAATATTAAAAGCAAATTTTAGTTTAAAGCCCTGACATGTGAAGTTACATGTCAATTTGTTTAAATTTATAACAGATGCTTTGGTATCTTGGCTAACTTGTATATCATCTTGATTAATTCAAAGGTGTGATAAATAAAACAAAATCAAATGGACATGTTTCTTTTATTATTTGTCGTGTTTCTCATTTCATATTTGTAAAATAAATAAAAACATTTTAAAATCATTCAATATATTTGTGTCTTCTCATTAAATGTAATATCCACAAGCTCATTAATATTCATGAGCTCATTAATATGCATGAACTCATTAATATTCACGAGTGACCAGCACTCTGGTTGGGCTGGTGAGATGCAATAATTAAAGTGTTCACACGATATCTGCGTTAAAGTTTTCTTGTCAACAGCTGAACATCACCGAGCAGCGACATATATTTGGTTTATAAGTTTTTAGCATCTTAAGGTGTCATAAAATCACCGAATAGCGCGTGGGATTCTCTGTTCGAAGATTGAATGTGATATAAATATATGATGTGAAGCATCGGATACACACCACATACTGTAAAAGGGTTAATTATTCACTGGGTTTTAATTTTGCTTATTTCGCTGACTGGAAAATGTGCTAAATTAAAATCCAGTGAATATGTAAAATTTAGCATAGAACACATTATCTAAATGATAAAACCGTGAATGATAAAACCCACTGAATATGCCTGAAATGGAAAATCAGCGAAATTTTAACCCACTGAAAATTAATCATTTTACAGTACATGAGTTTTTCCAATATACCGGTACTCATGTTACCACTGTTTACAAGCAAACATTGACAATTACGTATGGTCTGTTAGAGTGTTCAGTATGCACCCAAAGCAGAATTCAAACAGCAATGCATGACCAGATTTATTGTAGCAAAGACAATAAATAACTTTGTTGATGAATGCACAAAACGTGAGGTGTAATGCCGTAAATTTCAAAATTAAACATTTTTAGCCAAGTTACTCAGAATTGAAAAGTCTTTTGAGTAAGTTCTGCTGATAATACAACTTCAACAAATCAATACTTTCATGGTTTTAATAGAGGAAATACCGGTAGAGAACTTTCAATGACTACAATGATGAGCAGGGATTCACTGTTTTTCATTGGGATTCTCGTAAAATTTCAAGGACGCCACCCCTATTCATCAATGATATATACTGTACCATATATAAATTTAAATGGGAATAAATAAAACAGGGAAATCTTGTGGTTTATACGTGTATATATAAAATGTTCTATTACTGCACCGGTAAATACTAAAATATTTTAGCTGGATTAATTTTCGCTGAAAACACTTTTCAGGTGTTTTGTATGGAATTTATTGTCACTGATTTTTGACGAGTTGAATGAAAAATATAAGAAACAAGGTATATTCGCTGTATTTTATTTTCACTGAAAATAGCAAAAATTAATTCCAAGTGAAAATAAAGTATTCTACAGTAGATTATTTTATGCAAGTGAATACATTAAATATGTAC